TAATGGATGTGCTGTTTGATTTGAAAATTTTTATCCAAGTTTTTTGCTTGAGGTCAAGCAATGGTTTGAGTTTGGGGGAGTTTGATCGGTGGTTTTTACATGTTATTTTACCATTTGTTTCTGTTAATAATTTGTTTTATCTTGTCGCCTTTTATGTGTTTTTATTGCATTTTACGCATTGGTTTGGTGTTTTCATTGTTTCTAGGTTCAGGTAAACAATAAAGGAGAAGTAGAGCGAAAACAGGGGGAAAATGGCAAGATTTCGGAAGAGTTTTGTTGTGAAAGTAAAATCTTTAGCAGTCTGCACGAAAACGATCATAACTGGAGTTCCGGGAATCCGTTTGAGGCGTTCTAAAAACCTCCGGAAAGCTAAGACAGAGTTACGACTTTCGTGTTGGAGTCGAAGTTAGATTCGTAAGAGGGGCCTGACACGGGTGTCCGTGTTGTGTGACACGGCCCATGTCAGGATGTGCTCAGAAGAGGTGTTTTTTTGTGGAAAATAATGGCCTAATACGGGTGCCCGTGTTGTGTGACATGGCCCGTGTCAGGACACCTAGGACTTGAAAAAATCATGCGAAAATGATATCAGAAAGCCAACACGGCCGCCCGTGTTTCCTGACACGGACTGTGTTGGTTAAAACGCCAAATTCCCTATTTTCTTGTATTTTTGACACTTGTGATCCCTGAGGGTATTTTGGACTTTTCCCTGGTACTGAGTTTGAATTGAGACTATTTGATACGTGTTTTGACAAAAGAGAGGGGACTTTTGATTGGTACGAAGAAAATACAACGAAAAATTGAAGCTCTGGAGAATTGGGAGGACAAGGAGATTTTCATGCTCGGAAGAAATTGAAGATCGAATTTACTCCCTAAATCTTGTAATGTTTCTATTTGTCATGTTGTTTTTATCGAATACTATGAGTGACTAAACCCCCAATTGTTAGGGGGTGGTCCTAAATTTCTATGTATTGACCTTTGTTGGGATTATTCTATAAGATTTTTGTTGTTCACCTTATAGCTTTTATTTTGCAACGATCTTTATGCGAACTCATATTGGAAAATATAATTTGATTTACGATTAGGTTTTGGTCTGGAAAGTCAACCTAATGCTTTTGCAAAATAACATTACGGTAGATATTGCCTAGGAATGGGGATACCCCGTAGTAGCGTGTTTTTATGTCATAACTATTGCTTGATGATTTATGTGTGCAACTAAGGAATTAGGGAGCAGGAAAATTATCAAAGAGTTTTTCATTAAGGAATTAAGAAAAACTAATTTTGAAATTTGACTTATTAAGGTTGGAAACAAATATCTCAGAATAATTCTTTAAGGTCTTTACTAGAAATTTATCCACTTCCCTAGCATTGTTCTTATTTTATTCTATAAAATTTATTATTTTATTAGTTCTTATATCATGTTACCAAACGAAACCCAAGGTTATTTTGTCTGATTGAAATAATAAGTTTTACCTAAAAATTTACACGCAGTCCTCACAGATCGACATTCGGGGAATTTTCCCTTATTACTACATCGGTATAATTAGTACACTTGCTAATTTTCCGGTCACACACACTCTTCACATATCTCAGTTGAAATGTTGATTCTTGGAAACCCGGTTACCATACCATCCTTTTGTAACGCGTCAAGATCGCGAAAATTGAGATGTCCAAGATGGTAGTGCCATATCGATTCTTCTCGACTTATTGCTGAAGCTAAACACCTATGCTCAATCACTTTCAACTCCACTTTGAAAGTCCTATTGACAGCCATAGGAGCCTTAAGAATCAAAACACCGTTTGCATCCACAACGCGCAAGATCTTGTCTTCCAAGCGAATTTCGTAACTCCTCTCAAGAAATTGGCCAATACTCAAGAGATTACACTTAATTCCCAGAATATACAAAACATCCTTGATCATAGAATGTCCATCATTCATCTTCTTGATCAAAAAATCACCGACACCTTCAGCCGCAAGAATGGTATTATCTATGAATTTTACTCTATTTTTCGCAGCTTGATTGATCCGCACAAATCAATCCTTTCTACCCATCATATGTGTTGAACAACCAAAATCCAAGTACCATTCATTGTTGCCTTGGAATCCATCTCGAACCGTAATCATTACATTTTGCTCCGAACGCGTTTCTACAACACTTTTTGAACTGCTGCAACTATTGTCCCGCAACTTACAGCTGCTACTACTGCTGCCCAACACCTCCTTAATACCATAATTCTCCTCAGTGATCATAATCAATAATGTATTTTCATCATCTACCTCTTACCTCGCAACCTCAACTTCATCGCTTTGATTCTCCCTTGGTCTCGCACGCTAATCTCTTGTGAAATGACCAAGTTTATGACAATTGTAACACTTTGACTTACTCTTGTCAAACTTCTCGAAGTTGTTTCCTTGACCACTATCTTTCGAGCTGCTCTCACCCTTTTGCACCATTGAAACTTTCGAATTTTATGGATCATTTACACCCAAATTCTGAGAATTTTGCTTCCCATTCGAAGTACATTTTCCTTTCGATCTTTTACTATTCTCATTAAACCGTGCTTGCAAAGCAATCTCCGCTTTAACTTTATCGCTTCCTCTCTCGTCCATCATTTGCTCGTGAGCCTCAAAAGAGCTTTGAAGCTTATGTTTGCTCAACGTCGCAAGATCCTTCGACTCTTCGATAGACACTACAATATTGTCGAATCTTGAAGTTAAAGAACGCAAAATCTTCGACACAACATTCTGCTCCAAAATAGTTTCTCCGCAAGACTTGATTTGATTCACCAAACGCGTAATACGCATCAGATAATCGTTGATCGTCTCCTTCTCTTCCATTTGCGTTAACTCGAATTGCCTCTTGTGAGTTTAACAGCCCCTGCATAAGTTTTCTCCAAGATCTCCCAAGCTTGCTTCGCCGACTTGCAATCGCTAACTTTCTCAAAGTTGTCACCATCGATGCAAGAATGAATCAAGAAGAGTGTCTTGTAGTCTTTCTTCTTTTCTTCCTTGAATGTAGTATTTTAAGTATATGTAGCTTCAGCCCTTAATGGTGTACCTACATTGTTGATGATCTCAAGAACTTCTTGATACCGAAACAAAACTTTCATTTGCTTGGACCTCTTGTCATAATTCTTCGAATCAAGAATCAGAAGGTTGGTGGAAATTATATCGTTGAAAACGATACTCATTGTTGCAGCGGAAATGGATCAGAACCAGTGTTCTTAGATGCCAAATGTTAGAGCATACAAAATCTCTAATGGTGAACTAATGGAGAATTGAGTTAATTTGTAGAAGATGAAGTTAAGAAATTGAGAGAGAAAAATAGAGAGAGAGTAATTGAGGGTGAGAAGAATAATTGACATTAACCACAAATGAGAGTTTACAAAATCTTATATACAACAAGTACAAAATGATTGGAAATAACAAAACAAATTAGCAAAATAAGCTGAAACTAACAAACACTAAAAAAAACTAAAATATCTCTTTGTAATCGGTTACGCAAAATGCTGTAACCGATTATGAGTCTAATACCAACAATTCTTTAGTTTTTCTAAGTCCGTAACCCGTTACGCCAAAACGCATAACTCGCTACCATAACTAAAATGTTAAAAACTGATTTTCAACTGAGTTTTTATCATATCATTTTTTTTTTGTTTTATTGAATTTTTATTATAATATTTTTTATGGTTATTAATATTAATGAAAAAAATTACACCTTTTAAAATTTAAAATCCTTCTATATTTAAAACTCAGTAGAACTTGTTGCTGTTGCACAAAATCCATCCAGTAAATTGTCATCGCCTTGTAAATTGTCATTCTTATATAGACATGCGTGAAACCGAGATGATAGAGTATGATATAATGGTATAATATTGCCTTTTGTCATTTGATTTATAATTTGTGGACTTAACTTTAAACTTATTTTGCAAACATGATTTAATAATTAAGAAAACTATATAATCCCAAACTTTCCCAAATACTATCCACAATCAACCACTGCCACATGAAACAAAACAGTAGGGTACACATGCTTAACAACATCTCCAACGTGATTTCCAAAGCATCATAACATTAAAGTCTTTCCATAAATGGGATCTACAATCTAGACCACGAAATCGATCTCAAGTGGGACCCACAATGCCACGTGGACCAATCCATTTTCAGATTTAGATGGATTTCTTTTAAGCCACAAATCTTCGTACCAAAACATTTTCAGCCACAAACTCGCAATTAGCATCTTTTTCTTTTTCTTACAAGTGTCCCTTGTTTCTTAACTCTTCTTACAGTTTCCAATATATTTCAATATTTTATTGAAACAAGCTATAGCCGCCTCAAAAACTCTTGGATCCTTTTAGCAAGCTCTGTTGATTTCTTGTTATACTTTCTATTTGGCTTTGATTTGTTTTGTTTATCATCTTCAATCAGCTTTAAAACAGGTATGTTTTTATTTTTGTTTTTTGGTTTCTTATGTTTTTTTTCTCGTATGTTGTTATGTTTTGAGTAGTATGAATGGTTTTATGTTGTTTTTTTCATATCAATTTCTATAGGTTTGATGGAAATCATATGGGGTGTTTTGAATTTTGACAAAGTTTTGATTTTTTTTTCTCTGTTTTTTTGGGTTTTTGATGCTTGGTTTTGAAGATTCTAAAGATTTAATGATATGGGTTTTGATTTTTTTGGTAAGGGTAAAAAAGGGTTAGAAGTGATTTTTTTTTAGTGTTTGATTGAGAAAGTTATATGGTAAGTAGTTTTAGTATGTTTGGTTTGAAGGAGTTTTGTAAATCAAGGTCTCAATTTCGAATCCGGTTAAGCGCAAACAATTTCTGTGTTGGGCTAAGTTCATACTCCGGCTTTAAATGGTCTCCTTGAAAGTTAACTTTTTGTGTTAACCATGAAGCTTTTAGGTTATGAATCAGAAAGTTCTGCATATTTTCAATTAATAATTTTGTTTTCTAGATGTTAATTTTGTTATGTTTTGAACATTTGCAGACTATTCGCCATGGATTGGTATTATGGATGTGGAACGAATGATTTCGTTGTACCCGGCGATCAAGATCTATTGGCTACGCATCCTTCACCGGAAAATTGGTCTAAATGGGGAATTAACGCACCGGAAGGTTACAATTCACCTAAGAATTTCATGAGCATGGATTCGAATACAACAGACACAGAATTCAACTTCGACGGCGAAAGTTTCAGTAACCGAGTCAAGTTCGAATCATCTTCCTACGAGAAAGCTCAATCTAGCAGCTCAAGCGTATGTGAAGGATTGACTGATCAATCGTTTCAACAAACATCGCTTTCACATCATCATCGTCGTCAGATGAATTACCAGCTTCAAGAACTTTCATCAAGTTTCGAACAGACCGATGACATTTTCTTGTACACAAGCGTAACTTCTGGGATTAATATGCTTGGTTTTATGCCTGTATGATAATAATTATCATGTAGCATCATGAGTATGCTTTTCATTTTAGCAAAGTCCAGTGCGATATTGAATGCTCTCGCGTTTTTTGCATTCCGAATTTCAACATATTTATCATTATCATTGGAGACAAAAACATAATGGTTCTCACCAGAAACCTATAAGCACGAACCTGTTATTGCAGGGTAAGGGCTCCTATTTTCTCTAAGGTTCAAAATTGTTTAACAAAATCGATTTTGATCCTTGCAAATATAAAACTTTTTGTTTTTCGGTTTTTGCTGTTTTTAGTCCATGATTTCAGATTTTTTCTTAGAAACGGAAACAAAAAAGTGGTATGTTTACAAGGACCAAAAACATATTTAACGGCGATTCTAGCATGAAAACGGTCCTATATTTTGAATGTTGATGCATTGAAAATTGTAATTTAACGGAGACATTCAATGCTCACTGGCTACCATAGGCATGAAATTTATACAATTCGCATAACTGTGTATCTTATCTTACATCCTTTACTTGTTTTGAATAATGCAGGGATTCGATACTCGAAGATTTTCCATGTGCTGAAAACCTAAACAAGTCTTTTTACTTTTATCCTGAAAACCAATGCAGCAATTCACCTGGTAATAACTCTTTTCGCACCTTCTGATATTTTATTGCGAGTAACTAGACTAAAAAAAATTCTATGGTATTGATGTTAAACATGCATTCTTTTGTTTCCATTAGGTGGATTGCAGAGAGATATGGCAGCTTCTGAGTTTCTTTCATGTAACTCGAATTCCGATGATTGCTTGAATATAGAGGTATACTATCCTCTTATCTTGTACTTTGCAAGTATCTATCCCATGGTTTTAAATTGTGGTTTGCAACTGCAACTGCGACCGCAATATTACTGATGTGGTAGTTTTTGCAACCACAATTGTTGCCGCAATATTACTGATGTGGTAGTCTCTGCAACCACATCAGACTGCAATTGCGGTGTGATTAGGAACCGCATCAAACAACTTCGCCCAAGTTTCTTTAAATATTTTAGTTAAAACTCAAAATTTAGAATCCCAAAACTCAATTTACTTCTGAAAAATCTTAACATTAAGTGTAGTGATATCAAACTCTTCTCAATCAAAATTCACGCTGCAATGCGCATCGTAGCAACTGCAATGACCGCAACTGTAACCGCAATTTAAAACCATGATCCATTCGGTTACAAAAATCCAAGTGGTTTTGCCATCAAGCTTTATAGTGTAATGTAATATCTAATAAGTTATTTATCTTTTCTGCCTCAGACACTTCAAATCTTGGATCATTCTGAGCAATTCAATGGAGATGAATCAATGCATACACACTCATCTATTGAGGAATCTACACTTCAGAATCTCGAGGCAATAATTTCACAGGTATGTGACATGACCGAGAATTGAGTTATGAGTAATTGATTTAAGTGCAATTATATTTGTTACTAATCTATGTTTTCCCTTTTTCTCTTAACTAGTTCAGCGACAAGACTCGAATTAGCTTCCGAGACGCACTTTACCGCCTCGCCAGAGACACAAAACAACAGCACGCCGTAGACGATCTGGATGGCGATATTAGCATGCAAGAAGCCTTGAGGTACATGATTTACATATGTTTGGATTCGCACTCAAAATCAATTTATCATTCATACACCGAGTAAATGATGAAACAAACACTAACTTGAAGTGATACCTTTGTGTTTAGATCCGACAACAAGCAACCGATGGAATCAGAAACCAACAGTGTTGACAGAGCGGTCGCAAATCTCATGTTCAATGGAACCGCATACTGCGAATGCTGATCATATGCTGGAGTTTGCTAAGGCAATGCAATTCTGAGCTGAAAAAGCTATATGAATGAATAAGTAAAATATAATTCCCTGTAAATATTTCAGTTTGCACCAGAAATTATAAGTATTATGGAACTTTTGTTGAAGGAATAGCTGTTTCTACCCAGCAAAATTTTGGTTGTAATGTAAGTGATTTAGAATTCTTAGGTGTTTAACACTTTGTTGTTTTGCTTAGTGTGTTCATGAATGAATTTTTTTATTAACTAGCTAGTAGTGATCCACTAATGAGGATCTTGATACTTTGTCTTATTGTAAATGAGTGAGTTCATCAACCAGTTGTTTGCAAACTTGAGTAAAGGTCATAACTTTTCGAGAATTTCTTTTAGGATGAGTTAAATTATCATCCTAGTAAAAAAATCGACTTTTTAAATTTATAAAAAATATTATGTTACAACGATACCATACAAGTCTAACAATTATCTCTTCAAAACCTTTGATAATCAAAAATGCATTTTTTATAGTCATTTGAACCAAGTTCATTGAATGTGTGTTTTGTATTATACAATCACGATGCATAATCTTTCATTACTTTTTTTTCTTTTCTTTCCAAACAATAACAACATTCTGTCATATGAAACAATTAAAGCTTGGTGTTAGCTAGCTGGTGACCGTGCTTTTATGCTCTGTTCTTCCCATGCTTATTTGTGCATAGGACCACTTGATGTACAACCATTATTACGAAAACGGTCGAGACAAAACAATATCGACACTTGTGGAAATCAATATTGTTATTCATTGTTTTTAAATTAAAAGAATAAATTACAGTTAATTTACTCTGTGATAACCGTAATCAATGTCCAACATCAATATCAATTAAAATTGTAAAAATCTTTAGACGATCGCAACATGAAAAACCTTGATCAACTACATGATTATGCAGATGGAGCAAATACACATGTGCATAATATTAAAGCAACCAGAAGAAAAGTTATCGTTGAAAGACTTAAATGAGAAGGATGTGTGTCTTTGATATATTGCTAAAAATGAACCAACATAAGGATTGATTGTACTTAGCAGGAGCTCCACCATTAAGCTAACTCTTAGGGTTTATATTTTGATCTTAACGGCTGATCATAACCTAAAGTGGATCAGAGGTAATCGTCTGTGATACTGGGTGTGAGAGAGGAGAAAATGGATGTACCTGCAAGACATTCCGATGCTAAAGTAAGAACCGGGAGAATGAAGACAAGTACATAATATGTGTGTAGCAAGGTGAATATTAAATATCGAACCCTCTCCTTTGAGAGGGTTTTTATAGTGCCCCCAGTGCTTGAACATTGGTCCCTATTTTTGGGGCGAGATAACTGTTTCCCGAAGAATAGGTAACAACCAGAAACTAGGCGTTGGGACGGGCCGAGGTGCCCATAACTAGTCGTTGCTACGGGCAGAGACGCAGTAACGGGCACAAGCGTCGTGACTGTTTCTGGATGGGTGGGCCGTGTGTGATAGGCAAAGACTGACGAGGAGAAGTGTTGGCCCAGGGGTAGATCGGTCAATCTCCTCTGGTGGAGGGGTAGAAAGGTAAATGCTCCCCCAATTTGGTTGGACTTAGGAAATTGGGACGTTCTGGGAGCAGAAGTGGATTGGGCCATGCCTAGCCATTGGGCCATTCCGGAACAATAGCCCCCTCAAGTCGTTGCTTCCGAGGATGGGAGTGATGACTTAAGGACAATTCGCACTACGGGCAAGGTTGTCGCTTGTTGAGGAGATGAGGCTGTTACTAGGTGCCCGCGGGAATCTGTGTCCGAGGACCTGTAACGCAGCATGTCGGGGATCACGAGATACGGGGAGACCAACGGTTGATGGGATCTGAAGAGGTGAAGTGTCACGTGCGCCTCGAGCCATACGCCACATTTAATGTGCAATGATGGCTAGGCTAGGGTCAAGATGACGCCCCTAGCCGCGCGTGCTCATGCACGTGCCATGGATTGGCTATAAATAGAGCGAGAAGTTACTCATTTGCATTTTTTGCTTCTCTCTCTATTATTGCTTCTCTGTCTTTGCATTCCGCCGTTCGCCGCCGTCTAGTTCCTTCCGACCGCCGTACCTTCACTGGCAAGAGCCGTTCGACCTCAAAATCATTCCCTCAACCACGTAAGTTCCTGAATTTCTCTCTTGTTGTATGTTTTTACCATTTTCTAATTTTAAAATGCATGTGGCTATGGTCGTAGTGATGTAGCTTAGGGGTTGTTTTCCGATGGCTGTTGGTGGCAGACGGTGGTTTGGCGATTTCTTCTGCTGCCGGTGTCGCCAGAGCTTTAAAAGCTTGGGATTTTTAGTTGATCCTGATGTTGTTGCGACACAGAAGCGTTTGTCGCCGGCGGGAACCATGGATTTCCGGTGTACCTATGAGATTTCCGGTGGTTTCCTAGCGGAGATTCTGGGTTCTGTACCAGGGGAGATTTTCTCCGAGCATATCGGGGGGTTGTCTCGGGCATTGCCTCATTCATTGATTGTGCCATTTGAGTAGAGCTTAGGTTGAGCACGTTGTCATCGGGCCTTCGCACACCCTTTCACTTGATTAGTGGTGAAAGGGTGGATTTGATTTTGTCATCGAATTCACTTTTATCCTTTACTTTTTAGGTTAAGGAGATGTCTCACGAAGCTGAAGAAGAGACCTTGAGAGATTTGTCTCAGGAGAGCTCCTCGAAAGATACTGAGACCGATGACACTTCCACGCCTCCGGACGCTGGGGAAGTGCATGTTTTGAGGACCACCACGGAGGAATGGTCTGTGGCTGAGCCTGGGGAGCACACCTCCCTTTTTTCTTCATACACCGGGGATGTCTTCACGACAGTGGGGGCCTAAGGAGATTGAAAGGTCCACTTCCCCAAAGAAGACGGTTGTATCTTCTCGTCGTACGGGAAGAGGTTCCCCATGTACGAATACATTTTCAAGGAGATACGACTGAGGCTTCCCTTTTTAGACTTTTAGAGGGCAATCTTTGTGCACTTAGACCTGACGCCTTCACATCTGCACCCGAATTCGATTGCCTTTATACGGGCATTCGAGCTGGTATGTGAGTATTTGAAGATTGGAGCTACTCTCCCCCTCTTCTTTAGTGTCTTCCACCTCTAGCAACAGGTTTCCCTGAAACAGGGGAGAAAGTTGTTCAAACCTTTATCTGAGTCCATCAAGACTTTCAAAGCAAGGTTCTACGTAATTGAGCCCATGTCGGAGAAGGCTATTGACTCAACATTCGTATGAGAGGTCTCGACGAATGAAAACGGGGAAGACTTGATAGATGAGCAGGGCGAGGTGATTGTGCGGAGGTTGTTCAAGTTTTCTTTTTGCGGGAGCGGGGCCCATTTTACCCGCTCAATCGATGAATACATCGCTACTCCTCATCAGTTGGGGGATGATGACTGAGCCAACTATGCCAAGATGGTGGCTTTTGTGAACGGCTTTCTACCTGCCCAGTGCTTGACCCGTGCTGGGAAAATTATTTACGAGGAAGACGGGGGACCTCAGATGGAGGCCCGATATATTAACAGAAAAGAGCTCCTCAAGTGTAGCACTCGGGGGCTTTATAACTTTTGGGTAGTCTTTCATTTCCTTAGTTCATTCGATTTGTTGCTTACTTCGTGTACTAACGTGTATGTTATTTTGTAGGTAATATGTCTTCCACTCAGGAGCGAATGGTGAAGAAAGCTCAGGGGAAAATGAAAGGAGGCGTGACGATAGTGAAGATTCATCTTAGCCAACAAGCGCCTCCTCCTCAAATCGGGTCGGGGACCTCCTCGTCCACCCCACCAATTGTCCAGTCGTCGCCCTTGCCCGTGAGCTTGAGGCTTAAACATCCTTACATAAATGAGTTTGTGGACCTCAACAAGGAGAGAGAAGAGCAGGTTTAAGCCGCCCTTGTGCTTATATAACAAGAGGTTCTTTGAGGGTTCTTCTTTGGCAATTCCTCGAGCAGAGTCGTTAAAGCACGAGAAGATGGATCGTCGGAGAAAAAGGACCATGCTCGCTCGGGACGCATCCGCTCTAATGAGGATTCTAGAGATGGCGATGGTCTATACTGAGGAGGGTTTCTACCACGAATCTGAGCTGAAGAAAGCTCAGGCTGCGGTGGCGGACCTGGAAGAGAAGGCTAAAAGTTCCAGGAGGAGTGGGCAAGGGCCATTGAGGAGGTTGTGAAGAAGTGTCGGGAAGAGATGTTTGCAGAGAAGGATGTCCTTACTGCCCAAAAGAAAGTTGTCGAAGATCTGGTCGAGCAGCTGAAAGCCGCTGCTGCCCCTACCAAGGATGAAAACGAGGATGTAAAGAATATAACTACCCGAGTGGAGCTGGTCGCATGCATTACCCAGACCGAGGACGATTTCATGGCCATTGGCGATGAAGCCTTTCAGAACACCGTGGAACAGTTGAAGATTGTGAATCCCGATATTGAGTTGTTTACTGAGGGCACCAGGTTTCTCTATAATATTTTAGGTGGTAGGATAGTCGTCCCCGAGTTCCTTCAAATTGGTAAGGAGCATGCGCAGGAAGCCTAGGAGGATCCTCAACAGGCAAAGCAATGACCTTTTTTTTGTTTGTACCTTTGGCCTGCGTGCCATGTTTATTATAACTTACTTTTGTGTGGGGCCTGGCCTCTTTTTAGTGTAATACACACAATTACGGTCCTTGTGGTCGTTTTATGTTAATATTTATTTTCGTGCATGTTTGTACTTTGTTTAATTTTCCCTAAGTGTCATATGCTACCCACTGCTCGTCGTATGAGATACCTTAGTGGATGATTGTTATGATTCAGGTATGCTCGACAAATGATATTCGACAGTGAGGGGAATTGGTCGAAAGGCCTGGGTAGCTTCCGGGCAAGGGAGCGGAGCTCAAGCCGCGTTTGTGGCCTGAGTTCACGGTGTGAACTTCCCATCGCGAGCTAGGCGTTATGTCTTTCATTTTACTTCGGCGACGGCGGGCTCAGTCGAGGGACCGCCGTCGGGCATGGG